ATCGCTCAAAGCACTTCGAGCAGGTCTATAATAACTACTCGCGAACCTGACAAAGAACCATCAACAAATATTCCCGAACAGCCCGAGACTAACGCCATGGCTCAAAACACTCAGGACACCACGGCTGAAGACACTACAGCTCAAAACATTACAAGCACACTTGACGCCCTTCATCTTGATCCTCCAATCACTCCACCCGAAACTGTGGAATCCCTTCGTGCATATGAAAAAGAGCCAGGCGAAGCACAGAAGTTTTTAGGTACGACCAAAATTTGCTTCACACACGCTTATATATTTTGGTTCCTTAACCCGATGCCTTTGAAGATCGCATGGAAGATGGCTTCACGTGGCCCGCTTCGATGCCCGATAACATTAGAAGACAGGTTTTCTGGGGTTTCACTGATGATGTTGACGCTCCTGAAGGTGACCTAGATCGAGAAACCGCGGCAAATTTTCTTTACTTCTTTAACAGTCTCGACAAGGGCATGTTTGATGAACATCAGAAAGACTGGGTACTGGTGTACGGACAGAAGGTAGTGAAGTATGGGTCAGATGAGTACACAAACCAGCAATTATCAGACCTCGAAGATGAAATGCCCGGTGCCATTTATATCCCAGTTGATCCATTACTTCGTGAAAAATATTTTCATCCAGTTCCCGCGGCGAGGGCGGTGAAATCTCAGCGTTCCAATTATGGAGAACACCTGGTCTGGATCGATTGATCATTCCTAAAATATAAATAAAATTAACCGACATATAATATTATTATTAATAAAGCTCAAGGTTCGAGTTAAAAAAGTCGGATCAGAGGATCAAACTTCTGTCATACTTGACTATCAATTTTATGAACCTTTGGACAATAACAAGTTATACAAGACGGTTCTCGACACGGGCGCACCAGAAACAATATTACCTTTTAACGTCCGTCGACGTCTTGGAAAAAGTGGTTGGTACAGTTCTTCTACCACTGCTCTGGGCTATGGAGCACCTGCTAGATTGATTTTGGCTCGTGATCCATTTTTAGTGTCCATTGGGGACGACAATGGCTGGAGCAATTGGGTCCAAACTAACACTCTTCGAGTTTGGGAATCAAAGCCTGGTGATCAGGTAGATTCTTCCCTGATTGGGGATGACGTATTAGATGAATTCAACTATGTCCACAGGCGAAAAAGTTCATTTGTGTTCCTGAACCCTCGGCATGGGCCTCTTTTGACAACGTTTTTAGATAACCTATCACCCTAACGGTTAATCATGCCTCAAATAATGTGTAATAATACCCTCCTGCTTGTGGACTCTTACCTTCAGTTTCTTTGACACGTAGTGTCAAGTGATGCCAACCTGATTAAAGGAAAAAAATACTTTGCATCTTGATTCGAATTTTTAATAATTATGCAAGTAAAGCCCAACGTAAAATGAATTGGTTGTATTGCAATCAAATTATGCTACCCAAATTACACTGCAAAAAATGATTGACCCAAATTTGAGTTAGCGTAGATTTTATTTTTCCCGATTGTTTTACGGATAAATCAACGCGATATCTGTATATTCGGCACTTCATGCCGGCTTACTCAGAGGCAAAAGAATAAATCATAGTTCTTGGCAAAAACTGTCACGAATCGTGACGATCAGAGTCATGCGATTTTTAATAAACTTTTGAACATATCCGCATCTTGTATAAACAATGTCATACGCCGAACTTAGAAAGGAGAATGCTGAAGTTAAGACCAAATATGATGAAGTTATGGGTGAGATTGTTGAGGTCAAGGCTGAGAATATCAAAGTTAAAGCCGAGAATATAAAATTAAGACAAGCCTTGGAAGAACATGAAGCTAGGTTCACTAATCTAGAGCAGAGAGATAAAGAAAAGACCAACCTTATTGCTAAACTAGATGATGATATTAAGGAAATCAAACAATCTTCAGCCAATACTAGTATTTCTCCTGAAATAAAATCTGACAATACTCACGAGCAGACAGCATCACGAAAGGCAGGTCTTCATTTATCCAGAAATAGTAAAGATTCTCCCACACCTGATACATCCGATAACGTATCTAATTCTGATATATATCAGGAGTTAAAGACTCGACCTTTAGCCAGCTCACGCCGATCACCTATCCACACAGAAACTAAATCACTGGAGGACAAGAAGGTCGATGAATTCCTGGATTCAACATACAAAGAAAAGGTTAGTAAAGAGATAATTCAGCGCATTAGAGAAAAAAAACTTCGGGATCAAGAATTATCCTCTATATCGGTTGAAGAACCATGTGAAAAAGTGAGACCGAAAGTCCCACTTGAGCAAAACAGCAAGTCAGTGCTGATACAGCCTGAAGAAACAAAAGTTTCGCATGATTATATAGTCACCCAAGATTTCATTCAAGAAGTGTCTTCAGGGTTCACAGATGAGGAGATCATCGAAGTCATCGATGTACTCACTACCAATACGACAATAGAAGTTGAGCTAGCTCATTTGTTTCTAAAAGTAAATATTGAGGGAAAAAATACTATACAAGCTAAACAGAGAGATTTCATGTCGTTACTCATACGGAAAAAGATTTGAAATAGGTATTCAAGAACTTATGGTAAAAGAAAACATTTCAGAACAGACAGCGAGAAAACGATTATTCCAGGATATAATAAAACACCTTTCTGGAATAACTTTGGAAACCTTACGTAAAAGAACCCAAAGATCTATAAAACTTTACAAATTAATCGAAAAGATAGGAGTCGATAAGATCAAGAATATCAAGACATTCAGTGCGGATTATATTTCAAAGTTTACACAACCTCAAATTCAAATAATTCTGGATTATTTTAGTGAAAGTGAAAAAGTGAGACCAAAAGTCCCACTTGATCAAAATGACGTTGTCAATCATGTATCTAATACAGAATCTACTGATATTATCAGCAGAGCTGACATGATCAAGAAGACCTCATCGATAGCTCAGAAAAGTGTACCGCCTATATTTGAACCAGAAGTCGATGTAAGTATATCTCCTGTTTCTGTCAATTCGAAAACCAAGATAAGTGCGAGATCTACCTCTAAAACGGAAAAGAAAGCTTTACCCAAGAAGACCCTATCTGAAAAGCAAAATAATCCAGCGTATACCCGTGGTTATTTTCGTAACAAATTATTGGAGCAATATCCCGATTTATATAAAGAATGTAGTCTCGAAAATGTTGATTATTATGGGATTAATGCCGAATCATTATGTCCGATATGCAAGTTAAGTCATGAGGATGAAGAAGGTATAGAAGCTGAATATAAAGATGGATCTTACTATATTAAATGTGAAGCATCTGAAATCAGCACGGTTATATCGGCTCGCACTGAACTAATTGTATAATTTTATCTGTTTATTATTACTATGCAATAAAGATTAATGTGAGAAGCGGAGCTACTAAAATAGCATATATATTTAATATTTTTTTATGCCTCCATTTCGTAAGTGATATCCAATGTAGAAATTTAAATTGACTTGTGATCTTATAGAATAACAACATGAGTGCGTTAAACTTACAGACCAAATCTGATAAAATCTCTATGAAACAGGATACTTTGTGCCTAACCCCCGAATATCTGGATTGGTATTCCAAATTAACTGATTTGTCAACCACTATATCTGATAAACTTCGTTCCAAGTTGTATAAAATATACAAGAAAAAAACTGGGCTTGATCCTTGGATAAAGTCTGAAAATTCAGAACCCCAGCAAATTGAAAAGACTGATAATTGTATTTTACAGAACAGTTCACTGGAAATCCAGGTAAGGGTACAACAGATAAATGTTCCGCTTATATCATCTAAATGACAATTTCCAATTTCTGTTCTACCTAAAGACCCAGAAGAAAGGCAACAACATGTTATTAAAATGGTATTAAAGCGATTTCCTTATTTAACTCTGAAACATAGCTTTAAAAATAATTACTTTGATTTTAAGAGATTAATACTCTGCCCTTTATGTAATAAAAACTAGTGGTGAATATTGTAGCGAAAAAACTTATCATCTCAATTGTTGGGGAAATAAATATCAGAATTCAATCCAAATAGTAACAGTGAAAGCGTAGACTATTGATTTCGAATATTAATGCCATGCCTTGTAGAGGCGCCTGAAGGCCTGACCAACTCAACTCGATATTCACGGGCATATAATAGTATAGTCACACCGGAAATTTAATCATATGCTTGTAGAGGTGAAACCTCATTGCTCCGCAATAATACACCCGAAATAGATTCCACCTGCCCGAAATAGATTATGCGATGATTATCCACACGTCAAAAATAGGGATCCGTTAAAGCGGAGTAGTGCCAAGCCACAAATAGTGCCACATATTCATTCATTGGTTGATTAAGTTGTGG